GGTCATTCTGCAGTTTGGTCAATTTGCATATTAGCCTTTTATTACAATATATAGGATGTTCAGCCCATGGATGCTCTGTAATTATTTACTGACTGGCTTTTCCTAGATATGGAAACTGCTTGCATTCTATCTAAATATAGGAAGAAAGCCACTTAAGGAAAAAGTTACTCACAAAATTTTCCAACACAATTTCCCAGTGGCATAATGATTGGAAAATTAAAATTACTGTCTTGATTTTGTTCTCAGTTTTGAACAGCCAAAGAAGGCAGGCCTTCAGAAAAATCAGTATGTCTGCACTCTATGGAATCCTACAGGAACCACTTTTTCAAAGTTATTCCCAAAATAAATAGAAAACCAAGGTGATTCTGTCACAATAATCATGCAGAGAAAATTCTGTCACTCCAAAAAGAATGATAGCTACAAACTCTTAATTTATAATAAATCAATTGATAAAAACTCCAAGTGGAAAAATACAAATCACATATTTGTCAAGATACTAGGAAAGTTTTATCCTCAGCATTAAATAAACGATTTTTCAACATCCAAGAAAACAGCATTCAAATAAACACAGCTATAGAAAAAGATAAGAGGATACAAACACTCTTTCTCAAAAAACTGGTAAATAGTTACCTATTTTAAATGAAAAAAAAAAAAAGTAAAAGTCTTGGAAGATTATGAAATGTTTAGAATAGTGTTTAACAGCTTTAATATATATTATTTGATGTTGAAGGTTCCTATTTTACCTTATTATTTATGTTTTCTTTTAACATACTATAAAAGCTATGTTGGTACTTGCATGCTAATTCAATTATTTTTCTCAAACTTATGATTTTATATATTCTTGCTTCTTCCCATATACTTTCTGAATGGCTGGCAGACATGAAAGACATCATGTTGTTGAAGTTCTATACTGTGTTGTTCCAGCAGGCAGTTAATTTAGCTGTGAATCAGCAAGATCCTCTCAGGGCTTCTTTATAAGCTTTGTTAGGATCCATGCAGCACAGCCTTTATCCTAGGACTATAAATCACCGTGCTGCTAAAGGTGTAACCTTTTGAGGTCTCTATTGACTGCCCAGAGTATTAAATAAGGTCTTGCCAATATGACTGGGTAAAATTAAGATGGCCCCGAGCACTGTGTGAGCCCTGGCCATGGCTCAGCTCACAGCTTCTTTGTAGTTCTTTCCTGAGTAGATTTTGTTCACTTGGCCTCGTGAAGTGTCCTGCATACATGCAACTTAGTATTCAACAAATAATCAAGAAAACCTCTGCATACAGTTCCTGAGCCATTCCTCTTCAGTTTTCTTCTCTCCATGAGCATGACCTAGAAATTCTACCTACATCAATGCTCCTGAATTCCACCTGTGTCCCTTCCATTGAGGGAAGCTGCTGGGATTTGGCTGGGCTCTACCTGTGCCAGTCCAGGAAGGGCCTTCAACCTCAGAGTCACGTTCCCTATCTACAGAATCACCTTTTGTCTTAAATTCAAATTTATATTTTTGTCCATATTTTTAGCTATTCACATTGGGAAAGATATTCTGTTAATAGTAAATTATCACTTTTAAAAATTCTTTTTCAGAAGTTCTGAGAAATTTTATTTTTAATTATAATTAGATATTGTTATATACTTTCTCTAAAAATCTTAATATGCAAAAATTTGGGATATGTTACTAATACGATTGAATGTAGTTAATTCAATAAAATATATATCTTCATGAGTCAGTTTTAGAAAATGGTTAAGTTTTATATCAGAGGTCAAACTGCATAACAATAACCTAAATGTCCAACAATAGACTAAATAAATCAAGGAACATAAATGTCATAAAATACTATTGAGTAACTAAAAAAAAAATAACATTTTCTAATAAGAATGCATAATACAAAACTATGTATTATATGATACAGAGGTTTGGAGGAGCAGAAAACTAAGATATAAAGAAAGCAAAATGTGAAGTATGATTTTAGTATTTATATTTCTATTTATAGATTTTCTGCAAAATCAACATTATATATAAAATATTTATATCTGAAAAAAATTTAAACCAACATTTATAATGGTAATCTAACATATATATATATATATATATATATGAACTTTTCTTCTATCCTTGTTTGTATATCTGCCTTTCCTATTCTACTTTACTTTTCTGAGTCCTTGTTCTCTTTCTATGATTTCATGATTGCCATAAAACGATATTTCCAAAATTTCAATGTATGCCCCTTTTTCTCTTGTTTTAATTTCATATTTACATCTACCTACATTTAGATTACTTCATTGTTTCCTCAACTTTATACAAACTCAACTTAATGCCATTTACAAACAAGCATTCCTTCCCAGTTACCTAATCCTTCCCAGTGGTAACATTTCCCCCTCTTAGTTTTACAATATTAATATTTCTCCTTTCTCCTCCACCTTAAATCTTTCCTTGAGTCCTTTGAATAACATCTCTTATATCCAGTGATTATTTCTATTGCTGCTTGAGGAAGATATATTGCTTTGAGTCCCAAACAAATGGCCTCCCTGTATTCACTACTACTCTTGACTCCATCTCTTCCCAGTATACTACTAAATAACTCTCCGAGCCTCTTATATGATAGACACCTTGGACTAGAGTGAAAAACTGTAAAACTGCATTTTCTCTATTTCCTGCTGCTAGGGTTCTGCATAAGCTGTTGGTTCAGAAACAAATGCACTCACAAAAACTTTGTAGTTAAAACTGAATCACAGAGTGATACAGGTATAGGGCCTACATTTGGCGGTTGTACATTGTGGCTGGAATGTTTTCTGGACTCTCTGACTGAAGCAGCAGCTTCTTTTTATATATATATATATATATATATATATATTTTATTGACTTTTTTACAGAGAGGAAGGGAGAGAGAGATAGAGAGCTAGAAACATCGACCAGCCACCTCCTGCACACCCCGCAACCAATGTACATGCCCTTGACCGGAATCGAACCCGGGACCCTTCAGTCCACGGACCGATGCTCTACCACTGAGCCAAACCGGCTTCGGCTGCAGCAGCTTCTTGATTCAGCAGGTAGAGTCCTGGTCATAATTGTAAAGACAACAATTCCTTTGGTAGCTAAATTCTACTGAGTAGTTATGGGAGTCATTCATGAAATAACACATGTGGTCCCTTCAGCCCTCCCAATAATTTAATAGTTTGGAGTGAATTTTATTGTCTACTGTTAAGAATAACAACTAACCCGACTGGTTTGGCTCAGTGGTTGAGTGTCAACCTGTGAACCAAAATGTCTGGGTTCAATTCCCAGTCAGGGCACATGCCTAGGTTGTGAGCTCAGTCCCCAGTAGGGGCCATGCATGAAGTAGCCTATTGATGTTTCTATCTCCCACCTCTCCCTTTTTCTCTAAAATCAATTAAAAATATTTTTTAAAATAATACCAACTAAGAGTTTCCTTGTCTTTAAACAATAATTCTAACATCTTGAAGGGTTATTAGAAGAATTGATAGGTGGACAATTCAGGTAAAGCATATTAATAGCAGAAATGTAGTTACTGTTCTTGTGTTATTGTTAGCACATAACAATTAGAGGGCCAGGGTTTGAGTTACATCTTTAGCAGATGTTCTTTCTGCAATCTTGATCAAGTTACTTAACTGCTCTAAAATTTTATTTCCTTATAATGTAGGTGAAAAATACAACTACTTCATGAAGTTTTGTGAAAATTAAATGAGAATATATAACTAATTTTCCCCCTGTATTTTGTTATTCTCCAAACAATCTTACTTGATCAACTAATTTCCCACATTACTTCCTATTTTTAAATGCCACAACCTTACCTATTTTATCAGAATCCTGGGCACACAATTTTACAAAAACATGCAGTGGCTCTATATTCTGCTGTTATCTCCTTTTTAACTTAAAGCCATTTTTTAAGTTGTACCTTTTTCATGAAGTCTTTGCAGAGACTTGCAACCTATCTTGATCACTTCTTTGATCTTGGAGCTCCTATAAATAGCACTAGGCAATTTGACACTTTGCTTTTTTTTTCCTAATTAGTAAAATATGCCTTAGTTCTTTTTCAAATTGACTTTTAAGTCCTTGAAATTAGTAGCAATTAACATTAAAAATTATCTAACAGAGTTCTTAAGAGAGTTTACCATTTAGTAGTCACTTGAACAAATTGCTGACTAGATGATTTACCATGCCATTCACTGAATTCAATTAGATTATACAGTATTTTTGCCAGATGCCATTAAATGTAGGGCAGAGAACTCAGAAGTAAGAACTTGGTTAAAGGTACTTGAAATTATATACATACATTTTTGTATTCTTAACTTTTTCTTCTTTACCAAAACATTTCTACCAGCCTCTGAATTCCTTTAATTGTACTTAATTCTACCATAGAAACAGCAATAAGTTAACAAAATGAATGCATAATATACCAATCAACATTATAATATTGGAATGACTGCTGTTCCTTAGACATATCTGTCAGCGGTGATATAAGATATACATATAAATGGGCATAGAGCACTGGTTTTCAACCTCGGACACATGCTGGAATCACCTAGAGAGGTTTAACTACAGAAACCTCCATTTAATATGAATGGTATATGGCTTGGGAACAAGATGTTTAAATTTAACCAGATGATTCTCACAAGCAATTAGGAAGAACCACCACTGGTTAGAGGCTATGCTCCACTCAGCACCCTCTCCCATCCACTTTCTCTCACTGCTTTGCTTTAGGAACATGCTGCCTGCTTGGAGATTTAAGGCCATTCACCTAAGCATTCCGTTGTCACCAGTAGCACCTCTGGTACATATATACAAGTGTAAGTAATGGGATGTTATTTTGAAAACTATTTTCTGGGGGGAAAAAGCTGTCTATAATTTTAGTAGGCAGTAATAGTATTCACATGCATAAGAAATGAGGTATAAGTTAAATATCAGCATGGCAAGAAGAGGAGGGGATGGGAAAGAAAAGCTATAGCCCTATTAACAATAAAGGAGAGCTACAATTTCAGTTGTAAGTACCTGATTGATGGTATCCAGATCATCAACGAAACTATTTACTTCTGATAGAAGCAGAGATATTATAGATTTTCTCAACAAGCTGCAACTTCCCAGGGTTACCAGAGTCTGAGACACACCATGCTGTACCTGAAACTGAAGATAAAAAATGAATAGGTTTCTACTTTTTATCAATCAGGTCAAAATAGATTTAGTGGACATTTTATAAGACTTCACTAACTGAGCTCCATGCTGTGGGGAGTACAAAAAGTGTCAATGTAATTCTAGGTGAGTCTCAAGCACAATTATGAAATAGATAAATAATAATATAAGTAATGAAATTTTCTATAACAGTTCATATTTTTAATTGTATGACAAGGTGCAAAAATTGAAATTTTAGCTGAAGTATCAAGATGATGTAACCATTTAGATGACAAATTACATACAAGAAGAAAAAAAAGATGACAAACGAAGACACTTAAGCCCGTAGCCACTAGATGGATAAATATAGACAGAGAAAAAGGGTGAAAGAGAGAAGTTAGAGATGTTGTTGGGGAGAACTACTGGTATAGTATGAGTCCTGCTTCTATGGGGACACACTTCTCTAGTCTTCACAAGTCAAAATCTAAGCACTTCAAAGTGAGGAGAAAATAATGAGGGGCTCTAAATTGTCATCCAGAAGCCAAAACGTACTTACCACTAATAAAATTAAAAGAGAAATTGGATACAATAAATTATTTCACATATAGTTATTAGAAGAAAGGCCATTTTATTATTATTCACATTAAATAATGTGTATAAAACTCACAGCTGAAAATTCATTCAATATATCCTTTAAAATACCTGGGAGAAAGGAAGCTTCAAGGAGAATCTCAAAACCTAGAAACAGCAGCTACCTTGTGATTGTACTATATAAGTTTAGGAGCATATTAAGCATTTATATGTAAAATGACTTATTTATTTAATATTAAATGCCATATGAAACGTGTCACTCATATTCTTTAGGGTGATTACTTAATATAGCTATTTCTCAAAATGACTTTCTTTTTAACGCTCACCCTAGGATATGTTTTTATTGATTTTATTGATTTTTAGAGAAAGAGAAACAAGGATGTGAGACAGAAACACTATGAGTTGCCTCCCACATGCATTGCACCGAGGATCAAAACTGCAACCTAGGTATGTGCCCTGACCGGGAATTGAATTGTCACCTTTTAATGTACGGGACAGCGCTGCAACTAACTGAGCCACTTGGCCAGGGCTCAAATTGACATTTTAAAGATGTATTTTAACTTTAAAATTCAGTCACTATAGAGTGAATGTATTATAGAGTTCAAAAGCAATTTTATTATTATTCTGGGCATACATCACTAGCTATTAATAATAGTTTTCTAAATCAACTTAATCATAAAATCACATCAATATATTACCATAGAAGTCTAGTTATTTTATCTTATTTCTTAAATATATAATTGGTTCAGAGGCCCTTTGTAATATTCCAGTACTACTTATTATTTTCTTTGTACCTCAAAAGAAAAGATACTCTCATCTAAGCTCTAAAAACCTTCAGTTGGGTATTTTGCTATTGCTTTAAAATTATTTATCTCCTTTCTCATTATTTAATTCTTTGTGACAGGGGTGGGGAACCCCCATCACCTGGGCCCAAAAAATGATTTGGTCTGGCCCTGCCAAGGCATTAGGAGCAAGTTAATGAAATGTTTGACCAGATAAAGCAGGCTAATTTTTAAGTTGACAACTTTGTATGGCCCTTGAATAATGTTATAATTATCCAAAATGGCCCTTGGCAGGAAAAAGGTTTCCCATCCCTGCTTTGTGGGATAACTTAAAGTGAAGAAAAAGTTGGGATGCTCACATTAAAATAAGAGGGATTTTAGTAAATAAGAGATTTGCAGACTCAGAAGCCCAACATTGTCTGAGTCAAGCTGTTATGTCTCAGTTTGCAAACTAGTGATTGTGACAGCATCTGCTTCCTAAAATTATTGTGCATATTAAGATAGACAATAAATAAATGGTTAACATAGTGCCAGGCACCTAGTAAGTGCTCAGTAAGTGTTCAAAGTTATTATAATGTAGAACTAGAGACCCGGTGCACAAAAATTATGCAAGGGGGGGATGTCTCCCACAGCCCAGCCTGCACCATCTCCATCTGGGATCCCTCGCACAATCCAGGACTGCTGGCTCCCAACTGCTCATTTGCCTGCCTGTCTGATTGCCCCTAACTGCTTCTGCCTGCCAGTCTGATCACCCCCTAACCACTCCCCTTCTGGCTCAGTCACCCCTAACTGTCCTCCCTCACCAACCTGGTTGCCCCTAACTGCCCTTCCCTGCCCAACTGTCTTCCTCTGCTTGCCAGTCACCCCTAACTTCCTTCCCCTGGAGGGCTGATTGCTGCTAACTGCTCTTCCCTGCTGGCCGGGTCCCCCACCCCCTCCCCCTCAACTGCCCTCCCCTGCTGGCCATTTTATGTCTTAGAGCACATGTGTCAAACACAAGGCCCGCGGGCCAAATCCGTCCCACCAGGCCTTGCAATGTGGCCCGCACCGCGCTGTCATCACTGCACTCCGCTGCGTTTCCATCACAATGACAGTTTATGATTGTTCAGTAAACCATTCAGCCCGCGATTTAGGCTGGATTTTAGATTTTGGCCCCTTCTCTGATTGAGTTCGACACCCCTATCTTAGAGTGATGGTCAATTTGCATATTACCCTTTTATTAGATAGGATGATAATATACGAGTATTGAAGGTTATATAAGGTTAATTAACTGACCTTTGAATTAAATACTAGCAATAAAACCTACTTTTCTAGAGTTAGTACAGTCCTAGTAGAGGACACTGTTGAGACCTAAATGTCTTCAGAGAGTTTTCCATACTATAGGTATGAACATATACTGAAGTTCATATGAGAGCAAAACCATGAGTATATAACCATTAGGTAATTAAGTTTGTGTACACTATTATAAAAATGGCATTTCTTCTCTTCTTCTTTACATCTTAATTGACACTGTTCTTTTGTAAATTTGGCAGAACTTTTTGAGACAGGCTAACAAGGAGGCCAGGGCTGACAATAACATTATAGGCTACCATAGTAGAAACCATGGAAAGCTCTCTCAACACCCATGCCATCTTTATCTATTCTAGCACATCTTCCTGAGATGCTAGTATGTTCCTTCTGCACCCAATTTGTTCAGAGTTATGTTTTTTATCTACAGTTCTTTATATGGTGCATAACATTTATTGAACCATTCTTGTATTCCAGAAATAAATTGCCTTTGATCATGGTATATGATCCTTTTAATATGCTGTTGAGTTTGGTAATATTTTGTTGATAATTTTTACAAAGATAATTATCAGGGATATTGGCCTATAGTTACATTTCTTGTAGTGTCCTTGTCTGACTTTGGTAGCCGAGAAATGCTGGTCTCATATATTGAATTTAAGAGTAAGAGTGTCCTTTCCTCTTCAATTTTTGGGAATATTTTTGTTTAAATATTTGGTTCATCATGGAAACCATTACAAAATCACTTTTGAGGGAAATATTTCCAATTTAGTTCTTGGGAAAACCCACAGATGAAATTTTGACAAACATGTACTAATACTAAAAAGTGACCAAATAAACTTGAAAATAAGCTATCATCTTTTAAACAGTAATAATAAGTTAGATCTCCTAAAAGCAACTGAAACTGAGAAATACTCATTAAATGACAAAAATATCAAATTAGAAGTAAAGGGAATGGTAGTAAGTTGGAAATAGATATAAAGAAATCATTCAGAATGTGTAAACATGAATAGAGATTAACAATCAATTAAGGTGTTATATGTTTATATAGATTTCTTTTTGTAATCAAGAGAGACATCTGGAGAAGAAACAACATAGGGAAATATAAAAGAAGAAAGTTTTCCAGGCATAAGAACAACAAGAATTCCCAGGTAAGGGAACCATAATATACACCAACAGAAAAGAGCAATTAGAATGACACATAATTCCTCAACAGCAAGAATAAAAGCCACAATAAGCCTTTAACACACTGTCCTCAAAACACTTAGAGAAAATAAATTAATCTATAATTGTATGCTAGGCACAAGTATATGAATCCATAATTTTGTTCTTGAAGAACAAAAGAAATGGGACATTTTTAATGAATAATATAGGTAGTTTAATACTTATTTAATAGTACTAAAGGGAACTCTAAAGGGTGAATTTTAACAAAAGGGAAAATTATCCCTGTAGTCTTTTATTTGCTGTTTTGAAGAAGTCTGCTTCCCTTTTCTGTGACAATTTATTTTAAAGTTTCTTTAGACCTACTTTTATATTTCATTATAATCTGCAACAAAAGAGAGCATAACCTGATACTAGCATTTGTTGGCTGTGTTAGTAAAACTACAGATTACACATAGAAGAAAGGTAAAAACATAAGGACAAAAATAAATAAGGTTTATGGTCTCAGGAAGCTCATAATAAAAGCAAACTTAAATAATTCATGGAAGAAATAAAGAAAAGCAGGGACACATAAATATTGTGAAAATCATAAGTTCTTGAACAAATGAATCAGAATAAATCATCAGAGTAAATAAATCTTTCTAGAATGAACAAAAGATCAGATATAGGAAACAGGACTTCTTCAGTTTTCAAACAAAATCGATACACTGAAACCAAGATATATCTAGGAAATATTAACTTCCAAATAAAAGAGAAAGGCTCTTTTCATTTCCTAAGGCATTAACTGGTAGATCTCTTTAAAAGAGAAAAACTACTATCCATATTCTAGTTCTACAGCATCGCTTAAAAGTATCTCCCTCATCATAAGTTAATATACTCATTGGAGGAAAAAGGGGCAAAGTGATGGAAACTGGATGCTCACTGGTTAATTAAAATATCCACAATAAACTGAATTAAAGGTAGATTAAGTAGTTAATACCAGAAAATAATACTTATGTTCATTAGAATTCTGGTCAAGTAATGACTTTTCTAAGTTTTAAGCAATAAAATGAGTAAAACAAAAAAGTTCACATATAAAAAAGTTTTAAGTATAGTAACTAAAAGTGACAAAACTTGTGAGAAAAAATCTATTAGATATGACAAAAAAGACTTAATGGAGCTAGTAAAATATACTTAAAGTGTTAAAATATCATTGAG